GTCTCAGGTTGGCAGGAGGGATGCAGCTTAGCAGAAAGGAAGCACCTCACACTAGAACTCAGATTCTGTTTATTGGCTTAAAGTGTTCACAGGAACCAAAACCTGAAGGAGCAGGTTGAAGAGAGCAGCCACACCCATGAAGAGAACATGGGGGTCTAAGAGACGCGCTTTTGAGTCTTTACTGGCTTGGCTTTGTCAGCGCTCTCGCTCCTAAAAAGATGAATGCAACTTCGGCACAGAACATGACTTGCTTATAACCATTATCCTAATGGTTCTCACCTCCAGCTTGGATTCGAGTTCTGGCTCCACCCATCATTTTCTGTGTGGTGTTTGGTTCGGTAGCTACTGAAATGTTTTCAGTCTTAGGCTCCCCATGTTTGAATTTGGGGCAGCAGTCATACTTACTGGAAACAATGGTTCATGATTAAATGGCAAGAGGCTTGTAGAGCATGCAGGAAATGTTAGCTCACACATCACCCCCTGGGCTCCTCCAGCGCTTTTTGGATGTGCTCCCATGGAAGTTAGCAGGTGCCAACTCACCTTCTCCAGGGTAAGAGGGGACCAGTGGCGAATGCACAAGCAAAACTGTCTACTTTGAGAGCTTACAAAATATCTCTGGTTCTTGGCATAGGATGCTTTGGGAGGACGAAAGGACCGACCAAAGTTATTTGAGTTACCACAGATGCATCATTAAGGACTTGTGAATTTCCGGAAATTTAAAAAATCTGAGAAAACTTGGCATGAAATAATTTTGTTTTCATTTTCACTCATCAGTAGACTAAAAATACACATGGAAGGGATTTTCCACTCACGATCTGCTCAACGTGGGTGTTTTGCTTTGATTCCTGATGGAGGCCCCAAAGGAGCAATGACAGTGATGAACTACATGGTGCTCCATGTTAAAGAGAGGTGGAAATACAAGAGGAGGGGCAAGGAAACTCCAAAGGGATTTCTAGGCATAACAGCATCAGAGTAAGCAGCCTGGTCACCAGGTTAGAATCATGGGACATAAGCCTTTCTTCTCTGCAAAGCTGTCAAAGAAAGCCCGGTCTTTCTATGGCAGGTGAGGCTACTGTAAATTGTGCTAGGTGCAACTGTTGCCTGGAATTTGCAAGGGTTGTGGGGGAGTTCTTTGGAAGAGAGCTTTCCTGTAATGTTTCGCACATGTTGGAGGTATACAAACGAGCCTGGATTAGATTCAGGGAGATTCCCTGAGACTGTCTCAAAGTCAGAAGGGATTGCATCATAACCGTCATGTCTTAGGCATCAGAGAAACTGGTGGCTCGAAACTTACTACCATTTCCTCATGGTCCTGGGATTCACCCTCCCAAGGCTGGGCACACAATGTGACTTTATCTTCCGACCAGCTCTTTAAAAACCAGGTGTCCACTTCGCTTCTCAGAGAGGGTGTAGGTAGGCAGAGAGAGCAGGGTGAAGCAGGTGTCAGCTTTTCTGGAAGGAAAATCTGCAGCAATGACTTGACATCTGCCTCTAGTGTCATTCTTCTCTCCTAGGACTGAAACTTGAACTTTTCCGTCTCCACACAGAGAATCGCTCGGCCAGGAGCTGACCTTTCCAGAGCACCAGGAAATGTGATATATGCAGGTATTCTGTAAAGTCAATAGACACCAATGCCCATCAGGGCTTCACTGGCATCTTGGCCAATCACTGAAGGACACTGTTCAAGGTTCTGCACAAGGCAGGCCATGCTGACTGCAGAAGGCAAGGCAGCATAGTGGAAAGAATAGTATGGTTTTAGTTGGAATTTTTGGGTTCAAAATCAACTCTGCTCCTCACTCAGAAAGCCTCAGATGAGTCACTTCACACCCTTGGACTTCAATTTCTCCATCCATAAAACGGAGCTAGGGATTTATAATGGGCACTGTAGAGTGAGAATTTGTCAGAAGCCATAGGCAATCCCTCCAATCACATACATGATGCAAGCTTAGCATCATGAACTACTGGGTGTGTGGGTGTGTTTTATCATCACGAAGATTGTGCATCTAGAGTCACTTGAATGTTTATGACCTTCTTTCTGCTTGTCAAACTGAAATGGCTTCAGCATGGAGGGGCTTGTGCTTTCAGCTGAGGATATTGTTCAGCATGGCTACAGAAATGCAGGGGCGGGGGGTGATGAGAATAGGTGTTTGAGTTCCTTGTGAGCAACAGAAAGGGTAGGATGAAGGGGGATATGTTTTTCATTCTGTCGGCCTGAATTCCCACTCCAAATTCCATTCTGGTTATATGATCAGGCTACTGCTGCATTTATGGGTGGCCACAGTCTGGCTGGAAGGGCGGCTTTTGTCAGAAAGGAAGTGCTTTCTTTCTCCAAGCAGTACAAGAGGCAGCAATGTGCACAGGAGAGCAGTGGGGACCTGGTTCTGAAAACTGGTCCCATCCTAGATCTAGGGCTCTGGAAAAGTCTCTCAGCCACTCTGCTCCTACAGCTGCGTTTTTGTCTAATCGGTAGAGTCAGTTTTTCAGAAACGTGCATATTTCATGAAATGGTGTATAATTAAGAGCCTAAAAGTTGGGAAGTTGGCTGTCTCATTATTTTGGCTATTGTTAGCATGGCCATTATGTAAAATCATCATCCTCTGTGATGCATTTTAAAATTTCCACATATTCCTGTCTTGGGGAATTGTTCTGGCTCCTAGCACAGGTGGGACTCGAGAGGCAGAAATCCTTGTGGAAGAACAAAGTCGCAAACCGAATGATGCCACCTGATTTTCTGATTTTCAACTGTGTTATGTGTTGTTCCAGATCCTGTGGGCACGCCCCAGAATCTGAGAGCAAGCGGGTAAGATGTGGACCCTTTGCCCCCCCATTTCAACCATAGCAGGGCTACATTTCCCTGTCAGATGGGAGGGCTTTGCCCTCGATTTCACTTAATGAGTATTTCCACTGTTAAAAATAAGTTTGAAAACCATTTAGAACATTAGACTTGGACAAGTCCTTATAAATTGGTACGCAGGAAAACCAAGAAACACCTCCACTGACTGGCCAGCTTCTGAGCCGAGAGTTTGCTACACGATATCTTATTTGAATGTCCCAGGAGTCCATGGGATCTAGATTATTCTCTGTATCTAGATCATGTTTGTCATGGGGTGACAAAACTGAGGGTTGGAAAGTCGGTAAGTTTTGGAGTGGGGAAAGAGGTGGTTAGTGGGAAATGACATAGGGAACTTGAGGTTTTCAAAGTATAGAGAACAAAATCTTTAAGGACTGCAAAGCTTGACATCACCCCCATCACCCCGTATCCAATTCACACTGTTCGAGCAAGCACATGAGAATATTCTTATTGTGTGCTCTTCCCCCCAAATAGCATCGCTTCCCTGAAACACACTGGGTCAAAGTATATTCATTCACATCAGCTGAGCAAAGGACTCAGCTGCTCTGATGCCAATAACTTTCCATCGGCTTCTCTGAACACACCTCGTCCCAGTCCTGGACTGGGCAGGACAGCGCAGGAAGCTACTGGGTGGGCAGCAGGTTTTATTTCTAAAGCAACATAGAGGAAAGTTCCATTAAAAAAAGGGGGGGGTCCACAAAAACATGGAGTCATTCATTTTTTAACTGGGATTCCCTGTCCTATTTCCCTCTAGACAGAAATCATTTCCAGAGTCCCTCCCTCACCCACAGCATTGCACTTTGTGGACAACAGCTTTAGAATCTGCAATGTCTGAACTCAAAACCCCACACATCACATCCAGCCTTGGGCTGCTTCCTTTTCTCCCAACTTGTGCCTACATAATCTCCTGCTTGTAAAAGGGAGACACCCTCGGACCTGGAGAGATAAGCTGTCGGGAAGTGGGGGTGAGGGGAGAAGCACACAGAAACAACCCAGCTGAGTGCCTCTTTTAACTTCCTGATGGCACTTTTTGGCAATGACATTGATTATCCAACCTTCCAGTTCTTGTGCACACCCTCTTCCAAGCCCTTTGGGACACCTCATCTCCTCCTCCTCACTACAAGAGGAGTTACTGCCCCCTTTTAAAGATGTGGAAACTGAGGCTCCAGAGGGGTTATACATTTTCATCATGGTTATGTGTGGTGAAAGGGACACCAAGGTGACCCCTGACTTCAACACCTAAAGTCTTAAGCCCCTAACAAGGTTGAGAGAAGAGTGGGACCCAGGCACTCCCTCGGTCTTCGAGGGGAGCTTCCCACCCCTGGGGGTATTTGTTTCTCCATAGCAGTCTGCAATGAAAGGAGGGGAGAGGTGATCCTACAAAGATAAGGTGCTGGTGCTGAGCACCCCATTTACACATACACAACACAAATAGTAAATTAGGAGGTTCCCATGGGGGTCCCCCTGTCCTTCAGAAAGGAAGCTGATGGCTGATGTTTCCACCACTCCACTGTTGTGGCGTATAGTTATTCATCTGACTTCAGGAGTCCCCTTCTTTCTTGCCTCCCCTTGCTTCCCACTCCCTGAACGGCCCGCCCCCCCACCCCCCCATCCTTTTCCATGGCTGACTACCGGGTGGATTCTGTGGAATGAGGCAGGGATATAAAACTTCTGGTAAACTGTAAGGTAAGGGCTATTCAGACGTAAAATTGTCTTACGTTCTCTACAGTTCTCTATCAATCTCCTTCTCACTTGTCCCAGAAAATGTCATAAGCAAACTTCAAACACTACTTCTCTAACCCTCACGCAGAAATATTCACAGGTGAATCAGTCAGGAAGAGAAAATTTTTACTTTTCCTCTAAGAGCAGAAGAGGTAAAAACCTCACCAAAAGTTCCTTCCAGAAAACGAAAACAGACCCAAATCTGCAAAACCATGAAGGGGCAGGCAGAAAAGTCAAGGTGCATCCGATCATAAGCAGCACCCCATTTTGCCAATCGCCGATTCAGCAAAAAGTTTTCACATTATCAAAGTGGCGAAGATTAAAAAGCAAAAGTTGTGATAGCTTGGAAACCACAATACATCTGTTATTAGGAATACAAACAAGTGTATCACAAGGATCTTTGGTGATGGGGGTGAAACAGACTTACCTTTCCGGAGTTGGAAAAGACCTAGATTCCTGAGCGAACCGGCTCCATGGAGTGACTACCTGGATTTGCAGCAGCGGACTCCCACGTGCGCGCCCCTCCGTGTCACCCCAGCGCCAGGAGAGCCCGCGCCGTCTTTGTGCAGAGCAGAGGCAGAGCAGAGGCAGGCGTAAGTCTGCGAGGGGAGAGTGTGTGACAGTGGGCAGGCTGTGGCCAGCGCAGCCAGCTTTGGCGGGCTTATATAGCAAGCTCCTTCCTCTGTAATGGGACGCCTCGCCTCCAGACATCCTTTCCCACTTTTTCAGTTGCTGAATTAAAGGAACAGCCCTCCCAGCGGAATGGGGTTAGCTCATGAAAGACACACTCACTGCCTGCTCTCTGCCAGGAAGAGAACCCCATTTGCATACAATTTATGGCGAAAGTAGGAATTCCCACTTCCCTCGCCTCCTGCCCTCAACACAGTGCAGCTGTGTGAAGTGTGATTTTTGCTTTTCTCCCCAAACGGATTTTGTAATTGTGAGACAGAAGCCGGGCAGGAGAGAGGGAGCAGATCGGCAGCCCTGGCTCTGTTACTGGGCAGGCTGGAAAGGAGACTTGCCTGGGCTCTGGGCAGCAGCTGCTCAGTGGCACTTCGGAGAAAGCAAAGGGACTGAGCTGAGTTCCTGGAAAGAGGAGATAAAGCCCTTCAAAAGCCTGGGGAGTCTTGGGTTTCTTTCCGCCAGCAGGGAGATAACCCAGGATTAGACCTCAGCAGGTGGGACAGCCCTGGCAGCAAAGATCAGTCAGTCCTGCTTCTCTAATGTGGGAGCCAGCCCTGTCCAGCTGCCTGGGGTATCACTGTCCCTGTGGATTTTTTAACATTCTACATGGTTCTGTCTTCTAAGTTGCTTCTTTGGGTAAAAAGTCTCTAGGGTTTCTTTTCCGTGCTGAAAGGTGTCCGCCACGAAAGAAAAAAAGGAAAAAAAAAAGCAGCAACTTAATCTTCGAGACATAAACTGTGCTTTTGCTCTCCAGCCTGCTGTGGATTCCTTCCAAGCTCTGAGTCATCCACTCGTTAGGTGGTTAACATGCTCAGAGTATCCGCAGGGCACACACAGGCATTTGAGGGAGCGGGGAAGAAGCCAGGGCCTGGCACCCACGCTTGAGCTTGTCACAGCACATAGTTTTGTGGTAGTGGAGGAAAGTGAGAGACCAAATAACCTGTAGCTACCACGGGACCCTCCCTGTGAAGTCTGTATGAGGAGCTGTGTAAGGTACTCTCGAACATTCTTTCAGTGCATTCTCACATTCTCTTAGTGCAATAGGGCTGGGTATTGTCCCCATTTTACAGATGAAGAAACTGGGATTCAGAGAAGTGATGTCGCTTGTCCAGGTGAATACATCTGGCAAGAGTTTGGGTGACTACACTGAGCCCCATCGCTCCTCCTATTACACACTGCTGCCCAGAACATGTGAGACCATATTATTTTTTCTTTTTTAATGAGGTGCCATTATTTTATATTCTTGTTAATTTTTCTTTCACAGTATAGGGTTTCTCCTTTCACATGTGCTCACCATAACTGTGAGATGATATTGAAATGATGTTTCCATCTTAATCGATTATAGATCCACTTGTCTAAAAATCAGTCATATTTGAGTCTGGAAGTATATCCTTGTTCCACAAAGGTATTTAAGGAGATCTTTGGCTTTTTAAGTCACAACTGATAATGGAAGTTTCAATTAAGATATCACATTTATTATCATTATTGCACTGGGCCTCAGTTTACCCCTTTTGAAAGAAGTGGGAAAAGATTAGGTCACCCTTAGAGTCACTCAGGCTCTGGCATTCTAGGATTCTCTGTGACCCTCCCAGACAGCAAGAAAGTCCATAAATAGTCATGTCATAAAACAACTCATTTGAACTTTTGAACCATTTTGGCTGATACAAATGTTGTTTTGGAAGTCTCATCTACTGTGTTTTAGCCAACACATACGGGATAGCCTGAGATTGTGTTTTTCAACCAGTAGTAACTGCTTCCATGCCTCTTGGCTTCCCTTAGGCTACTGAGTTTATCTCTTGGGTCAGGGAGCAAAATGTTAGAACAGTGTATAGTACATGTCATGTGCTATATCGACCATATTGGCATATAACATAATCAAAATATATTTGCAAGTATGTGTGTGCATTTAAACGAGACTAGAAAACATGCTGAAAACTAGATAACAAATATGGCTTCTGGGGATGTCCTAGCTCTGGCCGCCTGTCCTGGTTGTATTCCACAGTCAATAATTAGGGCATACACACATGGTGTAGTCAGTGCCAGTGAAAACAAAACCCCAAATGACCAGACTGGCCCTCGAAGCTGGAGGAAGACCAGTAAAACAGACAGACAAGAATATTATTAAACATTAAGTGAAGAATTATCACTGAAGTGTATTCTGATAACCTAGAGATGACTGATTTTATTTATGCATCTTCGAAGAGGCGCTTATAAAAGGTGCTATCTCTAAAAACCCATGTGGAATCTTAAACCACATCTTGACTTTTGAGTGAGGACTTGTTTTCCAACTATGGGCCTTTTGCAGTGTCTGTTTCAGGCAGATGGCTCTGCATAAGCCAGGTGCTCGCTGCTACCCAAACCTTTGCTAATGCGCTACTTCCTAGAATTCTTACCCCCACCTTCTCTCATCCACTAAGCCAGTGCAATCAAGGAGTATCCTAGATTTCTCCCACAGGCTACGCTTCCGTGCATCATAGCAATTTGTAACTGTTAGGCACCAATGCCTCTACTTGGTGTAATTTTGTGTACGTTGACTTAGTTGTTCCTCCATTATGCTGGAGTTCTGAGGGCAGTGATCATACCTGTCTTTTCTGTGCCTGGCATAGACTATGGGGTAGTGTAGAAGCTCAGCAAATGTTTACTGAATGAATGAAGTAATGGAGGAATGAGAGAATATTTGACATACTATGCTTTATAAGTAAATTCTTTCTTTTGCATTCACAGAATGTGGGAGGGAAACTAGATTATTGTTTCTGACACATCCATCACACAGACGAGGAAAGGGGACCCTGATCTACCCAAGTCATGGACATGGTCTTTAGAGTTAGAACCGATCAACCGGACCACACTAGATATTACGCAGAGAATGTTTATGGAACTAATAACCATTCATCTTCCTTGGCAGAGGCTGTATATCTTGGCATCTGATCTTTTACTATTGCATCCTTCTCAGTAGGGTAAGCACTTTTTTCCACGTGAGAAGGCAGAGTGAATGCTTGTAAACACCACCTCTGCACGAAATTCTCAGCCAAAGAATGATTTTGTTATTGTTCATTTGCAATCCTCATTCACAGTTGCTGGTGAAGGCTGTGGATTGGAGACTAGAGGCATCATGGGGGTTCATCTTAGGTGAGATCATTCTCATTTCCTTGAAGGTCTGTGAAATGCCATACAATTTTTTTCCAGATCTATCAACGAATGAATATTGGCCAGAACTACTGCTGTGTGAGGAAGTCAAGCATCCATTTGTTAAGTTCTGGCATCTACTTCCCACACGACCCTCTTATTCCCTATCCCTGCTCACTCACTCCTTCACCGCCCCAACCGCCTCTTCTTCTTCTTGGGATTCATCTAGTGTGCTAACACCCATCCAAAAGTTCCACATGACTCTAAAATTGCCAGAGACTTTCCCGAAGCGCTGAAGCTGCTCTGGCCCAACACAATGGACCAGTCATTCAGTGAAATGATTTATTTAGTTTCCCAACTTGCTGCCTGCACGTCTTTGTTTAGTGCTCATGTCTCTGTCTTACCTCACATTGTTTTTAGACAATAAAGCACAAAAAAGTTCAAAGACAACTTTGAATAAATGACAAGATAAAGGAGAGCTTCCCTGACTGATGGAATAGGGTGAATGAGCTGTATAATAAACCAAAAGTAGACTGTCCACTCAGCATGGGAAGAGCTTTGGATTGGAGTGGGTTCCAGTCCTGATCAACTTCCTGCACGACATTGGGCAAATCCTTCCTTTTTTCTGACCCTCCATGTTCTGGTTACCAACGAGCCATCATTAAGTATCTTAACTAAAGTTTTAAATAAAAAATTTTGGAGAAATAATTTAGAGGCCTTTGAGCCTTTGCACATTCAGTTCTATCCATGGGGTAACACCCACCCCCCACACTGCCCCCACAAACCCACAAGACAAATTCCTATATTATTTTTCAAGATTTACTTCATAGTAAAGAGAGTTTCCATGACCTTATATTTAGGGAGAAGTGCCCCTCCTCCCTGTTCATCCAGACTTCCAGGTTTTATCTTCAGCAATTGCACACTTGTCTGGTTGTATTAGAGGATGAAGATTTCAAGGACTGCAAGGGTTAAAGATAGAGCACTATCAAGCTATTGGCAGCCCCGCCAGGGAGCTGACTCACATAGCACAGCAGACCTCTCCCGTCTTTTCTGCTGCAACCCTCAGCAGTGTATTTCAGTCAATCTGTCTGTTCTGCTCCCTACTCTGTCTCTTGTGAATCCTCTAAGCTCCTGTACCTGTACCTCTGGCCTACACCACAGTTTTTTTTTTTTTTTTGCATAAATAAATAAATCTTTAAAAAAAGATTTCAAGGATTGGCATCTATGCCATACCATTTGAAATCTAGTAATTCCTGCAAACCATGGTTTTAGGAAGGACTACGATGGCCTGTGATGGATTATGGAGGTAAAAACCAACAAAAAAAGTTTTTGAAATGATTTGTTTGGTGACTTAGGTCTGTATTATTGTCACCAATTTATTCATCCATTTCCCAAGGGGATGATGAGAACTCCATGTAGGCAAGAACTTTGCCTTCCACCCCAAAGCCCCAGGAAGTCAGTGAATGTTCCCAGGAAATGACTGACTGGCTGAGTGATAGAAAATGTGGAAAGGTGAAGGCAAAGATCAACAGCTGGGACTACATTAAATTAAAGAGCTTCTGCACAGCAAAAGAGACAATAACAAAAACAAAGAGAAACCCCACCAACTGGGAGAAAATTTTTGCACACAACACTAATGATAAAGGACTGATCACAAAAATCTGCAAAGAGCTGATGAGACTCAACAACAACAAAGAAAATAACCCAGTCAAAAAATGGGCAGAAGAGCTAAAAAGAAACTTCTCTGAAGAGGAAATGCGAATGGCCAACAGGCATATGAAAAAATGTTCAACATCACTTGAAATCAGGGAAATGTAAATCAAAACTACCATGAGATACCATCTTACACCAGTGAGAATGGCACATATTAAAAAAAACTAGCAACAACAAATGTTGGCGAGGTTGTGGAGAAAAAGGAACTCTTCTGCACTGTTGGTGGGAGTGCAAACTGGTCCAACCACTATGGAGAGCTGTGTGGAGATTTCTGGACCTACTAAACATAGAGCTTCCACAGGATCCAGCAATTCCACTCCTAGGTATTTACCCAAAGGACACAGAAACATCAATTCCAAAGAACACCTGCACCCCTATGTTTATAGCAGCACTGTTTACAATAGCTAAGCTTTGGAAACAGCCCAAATGCCCAAAAATAGATGACTGGATCAAGAAGATGTGGTACATATACGCCATGGAATATTACTTAGCATTCAAAAAAGATAAACACATGCAATTTGCAGCAACATGGATGGCGCTGGAAGGGATCAT